TCCCGGACCCCTCCTGCCGGACCACGCTGCCTGCCCCCATGGCACCGGAGTCAGCCCCGGCACCGCTTCCCTGCGGCGTTCTCTGCCACGCCGCCTCGCGCACCGCACGGAGACCTGACCGTGCACCTGGGACGCAAAAGGCCTGAGCGCGCCATTCGCCACATTTGTGAGGGCTAAGTTACCGGTAAAATACTTATTTCTTAAACATAGCTGCTTAAACGGTTCTGGTATGAAAGATGGGGGACTGTGTCTGCCTTGCTCTTCACCAGTGACACACTCCACCTCCTTCTGCGTTTTTATTAGCTGGTACTCAATACATCAGCGGCAGCGATGATGAAACCAGTGGCAGATTTCGCTGCAAAGCAGCTGGGTCATTGTCCCATGGGCCTTGTTGCTTTGCTGCGTGAGATCTTAAAGTGACCATCACTATTTTGGCTGCTTCTTTTTTTAAAGAAGCTGAAAGGGAGGGCATGAGAGAGTTAAAAGGCAAAAGAGATGGAAAGAGACAGGGAGTGGAGGGGAATGAGGAGACTGCTTGTGTACCATGTACAGAGCTACTTTGAAAAATTCGGAGGCATCTAAGTATCACAAACACGATCCCTGCTGTGGGCAGCTGTATGTGCGAGTGCTTTGCCCGAGGGTGTCAAATCAAATATCCACTGCTGGTTGGTACAGTACATCACTTCCCCTTGGGGATTCAGAGTGGAAAAAGAGGAAAAAGGGGGGAAAAAAAAAGGTTTAAACACAACAAATGGAGAAAAACTTTAACAATATCTGATACGGCTTATCATATACTGTCATCATATTTATTATGAACAATGTAGGAGAGGGGAGAGGGAAAAGAAGAAAAAAAGCAGGCAGGTTAATGCTGAGCCTTATAAGACTTACCTGGAACCGTCTCATGTCTCTTGGGTTTCCTGCTGTTTTCAAACAATTCTGATTGCACTTGAGAAAAAATTTTAAGAAGAATCTGGAAAGATAAAGAACCATGTCACTTCTATTAGAATCATCATCACAGAATCATCATAGAACCATAACAAAACGTGTTGCTACATTCTGTTTTAAAGTACACATCTTAGTGATTTACATGACAGTGTAGCAGTAGACCAGGACTGCAGGACTGCAAGACTTACCAGAACAGAAACAGAACAAACAAAACCAAGCCATAACAAACAGAAGTTTAAAAAAAAAAAAAAAAAATCAGGTAAAGTACAGCCAACGTGACTGTAAGCCATGGAGCTGGGCTGCTGGCTGGTGTAAGTGAACTGATCCACTCCGATTTGTGCCAGTTTCCTCACTGCATGTTTGACCACACAATTTTAGTCTCTTTCTTTATCTCTCCCTTGCATACAAGGTCTTTCTTTTGCTGTCTGAATGGATTTTCCGTGAAACAATATAGAAGGATAATGTTATTGTAAAAACTACAAAAACCAACAGGGCAACTCTGAGACAGATAAGCCTTGAAACTACTTAAGCTGTATTAAAAAACATAGAAACAAATACAGCTCCCAGAAGAAGCTGATGAGATTTCATCATGACGATGTTTTTAGTTATTAAGATTTCAGTAACTAAAGCAGAGAAGCAGAACTGCCAAGAGTCCAGATTATAATCCTACATAGATTTTGAGAGGATGACAAAAACACAACCTGAAGTAATACATGACAGCTCACGCCGTCCAAGCAGATAAACCTATTAACACTGTACAAAGTTCTCGTGCCAATTATTTTTGCCCTGTCACATATGCCTATCTTTATGTGTTATTATTCTGTAGAGTTTAGCTTGTCATGTACACAAGTTGAATCTTCAGCATGCTCCATCGGCTTACACAGCGCTAGGCAGTAGAGCATACAGATTTCACAGTTTAGAAATACTAGGCAGGTGGTTTTCTATAAGCTTTGCCACAAAATTTTGTGGCAAATCCAGGGAGGAGAGGATTCATCCTTTGTTATTCGATTCATCTGTTTGAATTTGTGAATTTCAGAGGTCAAGAAACTATACGAAAAATCATAGTTGTTGGATTAAAAACGAAACAAGCTTGCATTCAAAATTCAGACATAACAGGCAAGAAATTTTTTGGCATCCCCATCGCAAGTGAAAATATTTTCTGTGATTCTTTTCATTTCCATTTGTCGGACAAAATGGGTTTTACCACAACAATTAAAATTAAAAAACCCAGAGACTTTAAGATAGATTTAGAAGGAAAAAGACTTGGATATAAGAAAAAATAAATAGTTGAAGAATTGATTTAGAATACAAAGAACAATTTATTTATTTATTTCTCTTGCTGAGTGCTTTCCTTAAAAAAAAAAAATCTGCTTTTGCAGTAAGTTAAAGTCCCAGGTGAGCCAGGCCTATTTCCCTTTCTGTTACTATGACAACGATTTTTTACCGCAGTCCCTAAGTCCCTTCAGAACTCACACATTCATGCCTTGAATTAGAACTTTAAAGGAGAAAGATGTATATTTCCTAGGGTTTACCAACAACAACAACCAAAAGAGTCCTAACAAAAGACAATAAAGCAGGAATCCACTCTCCCTTGTTATTGCCACTTTCTTTGTACCACTTACATCGTGGTATTTCTCCTCCGTCTGCCCCAAATGTACAAAGAAATATCGAAGGATCTGATCCATTTATACGTTGCTTGAGCAAACAAAACCCTTCGAAAACCTCACGACAATTGAACCCACAAAAAAGACCCAGATAACGTCATATAAAGCGACTGGCACAAAATACGTCCTTCCAGTGAGCTCTTTAAATGCAAATGTTCCTTTTTTCCTTAAATCTCACAAACATTTTAAAAACATCTAAAATATTTATTTTCTCTGTGCGTGCATTTTGCGGACTGTTATTTTTACCGCTCCTTCTCATTTACGGCTTAAAGGGCTCGCTGATTCTTCCTGTGGCACGGATGAGGGTGCCAGTGCAGCGTCCTGCCGCCGGCTCTCCACGCCGGCATTCGGGTTCAGCGGGAGAGACGGGGCGGTGCTCGGCTGTCAGAGGGCAACTTCTGCGAACAGAGCCCTGGTCACCTCCTTGCGTTCTGAACTAAAAATCCTGCAGGACTTCACACCTCGGGAGCAGCACCGAGTGAATATATTCTATCCAATAAGTCTTATTGACTCCTCGTGCTAAAACCTGTGACCCCTTGTATTTGAATGATTCGGTAAGCAAGATTTTATCTGTAAGAATGTTTTCAGAAGGAAAAATGCTATGCATGCCAGCACACTCAAAGATTCACAGGAGAATTTGAGCCAGAAATGTTACTCACAAACACTCCTTTTTATCCTGCCCTCTTCTTATGGATATAAAAAAATATTTGCAGACACATAAACTGCTTATGTTACTGAGATCTATCTACGGAAGGAAAAACTGCAGAGCATACCCAAACTATATAATGAAAGCAAGGCAAGTAACTTTTACATGAAAATCAATGAGCCGGTGGCTAACATTGTTTTGGAGAACTGCAAACAAAAATCGACAAGAAGTTGTTACTTTTAAGGAAAAATAAAAGATCAAATTTATCAGGAAAATGTCCACTTTCCTTTTTAATTTTTTTAAATGCTTGCATCCCTATTCATCTCCATGAGAAAAAGGCTCAACAGGAACTAAAGAACGAAGAAAATCAGAGCAAAGAAAGGTGTCTGTAAGAGAACTCGCCGTGTCAGCTGAACTGACTTTGGGAAGAGCTAAGATACTGCAGTAATGCGTGTTACAGAAACACCTAAAAGGCAGGTACAAACAGGTAAAAATTCTAAATGTATGTTTAACAGCATCCGTGACTGAACTCTGCAACATTGCATGGAAATCTATATTTTCTGCTAAACAACTCCAGAAAATTGGGTTCAGATCCCCAGCAAACATAAATCAGCAGCGTATGTGAAAATTAACTTGGATTTCAATTAGATCTGCGCTGATTCATACCAACAGATGTATTGTCTATTGAAAATACACAGAAAACAAAACTCTCCTTTCTCTCTGAGCCGTCTGAGCCTCTACAAGAGGCAGAGCATTCTCAGCCCTCGCCGACTGCTTTGCAGTAAAGAGCGTTCAGCATGCAAACGCACCGAGCTTCGCCCGGACGTCTGACCAAGAGCAGTTCTGGGAGTCCCACCGGAGACAACCTAAAGGTGCCTGACTTTCTGGAATTGCTGAGTGCCAGGGCTGCTGAAACCTGTGCACCTTTAAGATATCACAAATTGGGCAGCGGTAATTCCTCATCTCACTTCTGAAAGTGCTGGCCTTGGGGTTTAGTGCTTAAGCACTGTGGCAGCATTCATACACACTGCCTGTGCTAAGACGTTTGTAGTTTCTTTGGAGCTCACTGGATATGCTGCACTAAGACAGTTTTCCCTCCCGTCACCCCAGATTTACATTTGGTTTTATTTAGATGCACAACTGAGAATTTTTATCTTTCCTCTAGTTGACCCACGTCTCTCTTTTTCTCCTTTCAGAGTTTCTCCAGTCAAATTTTAGCTGCAACTGGGCGTCTGCATGAAGTATTTGGTAGGTTGTTACATATACATATATGTTTTAAGTGGTTGCATCTGGGAAAGGCATTAATATTTATTGCAGCATTAGAATAAAAATGACTTGGGGGGAGCAAAGAGGATGGAAGGTTTAGCACTAAATGAAGCTGATTTAGGGGTAACAGGAGAATTGCAGAAAGGCTTTATTAATTTTTTTAAATGAGAACCTTTAGCCAGTTTTTGGCTTTACCCTATACATACATCAAAAAATAAAAAAACAGAACTTAAAAAAATTAGCTCATTTTCATGTTTCTGAGCTGGCCTTTGCTCCTTCCTAAGGATGGCATTAGCTATGAGTTTAGCAGATAACTGATTCCAGCCAAGCAGAGAGCACGGCCCAGTCATCTCATAGATCAACATCTAAGGGCGCTGGGGGAAAACCTAAATACTTTTGAATGACTACCACTAAAAATTCTGGCAGTGCTATAGAAAACCTGACTAACTTAATGCATAGACATAAAATTAATTAAGATATATCTACAGACTTATCATTTTTTCCCTATTGTCTCTCTTGTATAGTCGAGCTTTCTATCTACAGGCTAATACACTTGCAGAGGTCTCCAAAACACCACTTTAAACATAACTCCTTCTTTTCGGATTTAGAGGGAGCTATTTTAAAAGTTACTGCTCCTCCTACTGGGAGTTACCATCGTGCTGAGGAGTTAAGTTGATGAATCATTTAAGTGCCCCTATTTCACTTCACTACAAAGACAGCTGTGTTATCTCAACCACTTTTTCCGCAATACTATGAGCAATCCTATCTGACTTTGTGGGAAAGCAGAGCGGGAGCGCTCATACAATCCATAACACAGCTGAGAGGCGGCAGAACAAGTCCCCCTGCAGAGGGCTGTCAATGGACAGGGAGAAAGGGTAAGGGCAAAGTAGGTAAGGTCTTGCCTCTCAAGCTCTTTCCAAAGCAATTGCTGATCCATGCTCCCACCTTGTCTATGTATGCCTATATTATTAGGTTCTGTACCTACCTGCGGCAACTTAAAAACGTGGCTAGAACTAGAAAGCATGTTCCACACCTTTGAGAATGTTTATCCTCCATCTCGGATGACTGAGAAGAACCTTAATCAAATCCTGTTGGAGTCAAAAAAAAAAAAAAAATTTTCTTTCTTGTGACTTCAACAGGACTAGACAGAAGCCCTAAAGAGCAGTCCCACATGCAACAGAAGGTGTAGTTTAAAAAAAAAAAAAAAAATCCATTAATGTTTTTTTTAAAACCCTGCCACAAGACCGGGGACTGATTAGTCTCACCACATGGAACCACAGAAATAGATAATATGCTTTGCGCTTTTATAGCGCCATTCTATGGGACTTAAACTTCAATTAATTCTGCCTCACAAAACCCCTCTGCAGCAGGTGGTGTAACTCACCATTTTACAGGCAAAGATGCCAGGGCCTGGAAACTGGGAGGGAGTTGCTCCCCATCACATCGCAG